TCATATTTGGCAGCCAGCTCATGCTTTTATTCCATTTCAAAGTAGAAAACACGTCAGTTTTCTGGGCCAAAAAAGACAAAAAAGAAAAAGAAAGGGTAGAAAACGCGTCTTGAAAAAGTGGGGAGAAGGGCGCATATGCATTTCATATTTGTCATTGTTATTGTACATTAGCTTTTTTTTTTTCCACCAAAAAAAAAGATTCACTTTACTTTATTTCATATTGATTGAGCAACTCTAACCCACCTAAATACCCATCACCTGTTACTCATATCTCGGTTTAGTGATTAAGACTTTTCATTAAATAAGAATTATTTTTTGTAAGTTACATTTTCAAATTTCACAAATCCCATTCTTGCTTCCTCCAAATTGCCCGGTTCAAAAAAAAAAAAAAAGAAAAACCTTACACCCAAAAGTCAAGACAAGCGAGGAAGGTTGGTAAAATAATGCATCTTTAACCTAAAACGTGATTACAAGGGGTGTGAAATTGCCAATTGTCTTGGTGGCTAGTGGTAAAAGTTTAGTGTGATACTTCAATTTTACTTTTGAGTTTGGCTATTAACATTAATTTTTTGTCATTTAAATATATAGTTGTAATATAATTATTTTATTAAAACATGGCGTGAAATTATACGGAAATGAGAAATAGAAAAAATTAAGAGGGGAGCGTGTGGGGTTTGCATCGGAGAAAAATCAAAGGAGGCCCTTATCCAACCTCACCTTTTCACCTTGCATTTTTGAGAGTATGAAATAGTGATAAGAAAGGATTTAGTAAATATTTACGTACAATTATTAATCATGACTTTTAAATAAAAAGACACGTTTACCTTTAAAAAATAAAAATATGTTTTAATTATTATTATTATATGTATATTTATTTAACAATCAAAACATATTACTTAGATATCAATTAATTTAAACAAATTAATATTTATATATGGTTCATATCTGCTCTTTCTTTTTAATTTATAAAACTAAGACTCATAAACGTTTTCCCTTTTATTTATTTGCTGAAGCAAGTGATTTTTTTGATAAATACTTTTAAGCCCTCAAAAATAAAAAAACAACAAATCAAATGGAGTGTATAGTGTTTATTATTTAGTGCCATTAGTCGATCATTCTC